TAGCACCATATGAGGAAATTTATAAAGATCTTTTAACTAGAAGCAAGCAATCTAAAATCTCATACATTTTGCAAAAGGTAAAGCATGGATCTGAAGATAATGCAGAAAAATGCTCAGAGGATAAGGATAACTTCCCGTTTTCTTTTTGGCAAGTTATCCTCGGTTAATAGTGCTTTTAGTGATAACGAAGAAAACATTATTTAATTTATATTAATATGTATCACTTAAATATCTTTATTAAAATTTTCTTATCTTAATTATGAAAATATAATAGCATGTTTTTTTAATTTTTGGAACCTAACCCTCCTTTTCGTACTAGTTCTTTGTTTCGCATAACACGGATTCGCATAACACGGCAATTTTTTGGAACGTAACTATCCTATTATACGGGGGTTACCTTTATTATTAAATTGAAATTTTCATGTTATTACAGAAAATTTTAAAATTATAACAGTTTGTTCAGAATTTCCTTTGTCCTTTTAAATTAGACATTTAAATGTAACTGCTCCTGACGTAGGGGAAGTTCTGTTCACGTGACTGTTTTTCGTGTTTCATTCACGTGATTATAAAGATATTTTATTCTTTTATAAATGTTTCAAATGATTTATTTCTTAACAAACGAATAACTTATTATATATGTTTGTATTAAAGTACAGTATATCAAAAATATTTTTAATATAAATACTTAATTATTTAAACATGGAATTTGATCTATAATTATTATAAATACAGTAGAGCGTCGATTTTCCGAAAGTCAATCATCCGAAACGTCAATCATCAGAAAGAATTCCAGTTGGCAAATTTAAATTTTCGCCTGAGCTGTGGCGCTTCAATCTTTGTCTATGTCTTGGGCTACTCAAATATTTTACGTTTTTTATACTAAATTAACATCCGAAGTATAATTTTTATTGTTTTTATATTTTTCAATATATTTATTTTGTTTGTACAAAATAAAAAAATAATTTTTAACGATACAATAGTCTTCGTTAGGCTTAACATCGACGAAAATTCAACGCGAAGCGACACGCAACGGAGAAAAATTTCAACATCGGATACGTTAAACTATTTTTTCGTACATAAATCGGTTATCCGAAATATCACTTATACGAACAACCCCAGTCCCCAATTGATTCGGAAAATCGACGCTCTACTGTATGTATTATTGTTATTTTTCAAGAATGTAAGAACTATTTTTATCGTAAATTTCTTATCGTGACTAAATTTTATTTACGATTTTTCGAAATACGTTTAAATAATTTAAAGCATTTGCGATAGGCGAGTCATTATTCTTATACGAGATATATACTTATGGGTTACCAATAACCTATGCAAAAAATCTTTATTTTCATACGATCTTATGTAACTGAAAAGTTTTGAATACCATGTCCAAATATTTTTTTTTCGCCGATTCAAGTTAAATTATTTTTTTAAATAAAAATGAATTTTATTGTTTATTAATTCACATGAAAAAAAATTAGTAAAGTAAGCTTTTTCTGTGGTGTAAAGAAATCTTTATAGAAAACTGAGAGATTTCGATCAACAATGATTTAATTTGTTGGTAATTTAAATCGTTGTTTACAAAATTTTGTTTGTTTTTGTAATATCATTATCTATAATTCGAAATTATGCTGAGAAATTATTGTAAAATATTTTTAATAAACGTATTTCGTTTATATTATTTTGACACCTTCCCATTGAATATACATCGTTTTACATTTCTCGGTGTATGTGTAAACCGTTAAATAAGTTAGTAAAGTCAACACCAAAAACTCTACTTTAAAGAAAAAATTTATTTAATAATTTTTGTACAAAAATTTCAGAAAACTTTTTTTCTTTCGTTAAAATATATACAGTAGAACCTCGATTATCCGGACCTCTATTATCTGGATTTTCAATCATCCGGATTGTTCAAAATAAACAAAAATTTTACGAACTTGCTGATTTGCACTTGCCAAATTACGATACTGTTTATGTACTGTACCTGATAAATGCATAACTTTTTTTGTTTCAACATCTCATCCAGCACAGTGGTCGTAAACTCTTAAATATATTTTGCGTCATAATGAAAATATAACTTGGCATACGTATTTATAAATAATTTATATTCAAATTACATCATTTCTATGACCAAGGGCGGCGTATGGGCAACGTAGTCCCTTACCTACGTCTTGCAGTTTGAGGGGTCTCGCGCCTCGAATGTTTATGCATTACTTAAAAGCCGCGAACGCGACGAAAAAGTTTCACTCGTCATAAAACGATAAATAGTTTGTCAAATTTTAATTCATTAAATTGCAGTTTTAACTGGTTTTTATTTTATAAAATCCGTCTTCTTGCACCACCAGAGGGCCTTNTAAAATAATAACATAACTGAATGTATAATTTATTACATTGAATGCAAAATGGTATACTTTCTATTATTGAAAAGTACTCTGTTTTCTTTCCCATTCAGAGGCCCGCTTCTCTTGTTTTGACTAAAAAAACATGGTGGATAGAGTTTCAAGTTGCTTCGGTCTGGTGGCGTTTCCGCCTCTCTATGTTTACTCTACCTCGGTCCCACCAGTGGTCAATCGGTTCTGTTCCAAGAACACTGGGAATTCGGCCATGGGTTCGCGCCTCGCCAGGACGGGCTGGCCATGTGGAGTTTTCTGGGTTTTCTCCACGTCTGTAACGCCTGAACAGGGACCAGTTACCCTTAAACGACCTCTCGGAGGGTATTATTTCCCGAGTACCAACGAATATAAAATATATAATTACTAACCACGTTACATAGCAATTCTGTTACACTTTACTAGCGGGCAGCAAAACCAAGCAGCTCGTTACCTCGTTGGTTAACATACATTAACATACTGATAGATTTATAAAATATCTGGAATGTTGATAAATAAATGGACAAAAATGCAAACAAAATTATAAAAAATTTTTAAACATTTTTTAAATATCCTCAAAATATTTAATATTTATTGTTATTATTATATCTATAAAAACTCAAAAAACTTTTCGATAATTGTATTTAATATTTATAAAATATTAGTGTTGCAACGAATAGTATATTCGGCCGCAGGGCGAATACCGGCCAGGAGCGTGGCCGAATTGCCGAATATTCGGCCAAACTATTCGGCTTGATTAACGCACGTACGAAAATTGGCACGCAAACCTCATTATGTCAAGGACCTTTCTTTCTATTGCCCCCCCCCGCTGTCACTACGCTTCGCTAATCGCGTTAATTTTTGACAGTTGACAGACAACAGCGTCATGGCAGTATGCGATAAATGATGATATCAAATGTGAATAACAATGAAATGACCTATACGTGTAAATAACGGAAAAAGAACAGAGAAGGACCGCGAAGTGAAAATGGGAAAAGAAATATGAAATTGAGTAGATAACATAATCGAACAAGTCGAAGCAGCTTATTAGCGAGAAATTTGCGGCCTTCAATGACAAACAATTGTTGTCATAGACTTCGGAAAGCTAAATGCTTGTAATGAAAGTCACTTAGCTTGCACGGGCGAAACCCTGGGACCGTTCGGGCTACCAAGCTGTCTCGAATCTGTGAAATCATAATTGTAACATATACCGACGTCCTATCTGTCTCTTTTCTCCGTTATCACTAAGCTATGAGTCATGTAATTATAAAATGAAAAAACTAGGACGGAAAAGTGACGAATGGAAAGTATCGTGAGCGCGTATTATGATGTATGCATAGGCATACGTGGACTAGAGAAATGGAGGAAACAGAAAGGAAAGAACAAAGACGAGCGCTTAAAAACGATAGGCAGGGTCAGACCCTCACATGTGTGAAACGATTCTCTAACGAATGGTGTGCACTGTACGTGTGCTGATCTTTGTAATTATAAATTGTGAATACATGTGACTAATACAGGTAACCCCCGTATAACACGGCACTTCTATAGCACGGATTCACTCTAACACGGTTCGAGAATTGGTACCATCCCCCGTATAACACGGCACTTCTATAGCACGGATTCACTCTAACACGGTTCGAGAATTGGTACCACCCCCGTATAACACGGTACTGTTATAGCACGGATTCACTCTGACACGGTTCGAGAATTGGGTAAAACTCTCGTACAACATAAAATGTAATAAATTTTTACATACTTAAGTAATAATAGTTCGCGAAAATTATTATTTTCGTGAACTATTAGTACTTAAGTATGTAAATTTTCTCTTCTCGCCTTCTGTTGATACACATGGTCCTTCTCGAAACTTGTTTCAGTGATGCCAGATCTCGACGCTTCTGCTTATGATGTTGCCAGATGTTTTTCCCTTATTTCATACTTGCTTTATTCTTCATAAGTGCTTAGCACCATATGAGGAAATTTATAAAGATCTTTTAACTAGAAGCAAGCAATCTAAAATTACATACTTTTTGCAAAAGGTAATGCATGGATCTGAAGATAATGCAGAAAAATGCTCAGAGGATAAGGATAACTTGCCGTTTTCTTTTTGGCAAGTTATCCTCGGTTAGTAGTGCTTTTAGTGATAACGAAGAAAACACTATTTAATTTATATTAATATGTATCACTTAAATATCTTTATTAAAATTTTCTTATCTTAATTATGAAAATATAATAGCATGTTTTTTTAATTTTTGGAATCTAACCCTCCTTTTCGTACTGGTTCTTTGTTTCGCATAACACGGCAATTTTTTGGAATGTAACTACCGTGTTATACGGGGGTTACGTGTATTATGTTCTTTTTTATTTTGTACATGTTATAAGTTATAAATAAATATAAACAAACAACAATAACCCGACAACATTAAATCTAAATACCAAAATAATTAATTTACTGTGTTTTTGTTATTTCTTACTCCTGTTTTTAGGTATTCGGTATTCGACCGAATAGTGATTAAATATTCGGTTTTCGGCCGAATAGCGAAAAATAGGCCGAATAGTAACCGAATATTCGTTAAATCACTATAAAATATATTATTTCATAACGAAATTGTTAGGGGGCGCTGAACGTCTTTTCTCTTCTATTGGCGAAAGAAGATGGTATATTGCCAATGGACGAGTAGATCGGAAGCGGGAAATTTCTCTCTTGAGATTTTCTTTGTGCCCAATTTTTAACATTTTTGAACTACAAAGCTTGATATGAATGAAATGTCTAGTTTTAGAAGTGCTTTAATGGAATTATCTACATCCGGTTCGTTTATTTTCTACCAAATTTTTCATGTAGTAATTTAAGATAAATGAATTTAATTACCATATGTTTTTTTAAATTGCATATAACGTTAAAATTGTATTTTTTTCAAAATTACATTTCTACGTTTAATGATAAAGTTTGATATGAACAGATATTTAAAACATAATGGCAATTTATCTATAAGTTAAGTTAATTTAATAAAATTAGAATTATTTTATCAAGTTTGATGAGTTGTGCTGATTTAACAAATTAATGTGTTAACCTATAGTAATATCGTAAAAATATATTTACAAAATTTGTTAAACATAACAGACTCATTGTTAAAATAATGTTTTTATTTTTCAACAAAATTGCAATTAGGAGTTTCTTGTTCTTATTTCATGATTCTACTTTCCCATGAGCAAGGGGCCTCAGGATTATCGACCCTTCTATACAACAGTCTCCTGCTTACAGGAAACTAGAATTTTTATCAATCAATATTTACTCATCTTGTGCAAATATCATTTTAAGAAGTGGAAAAGAATTATTCCTTTTGTTTTAACTTGCATTTTTTTATATTAACAAGTTCCGTTTTATATTTGAAATTTCATACACAGTATATTCATCAGATGAAAAAGATGAGGAAATAGGGTTACCAATTGGAATTTTGGGTATTTTTAAAAAATTGTTTGGAAATGTTCTGTGTTTGAGAGAGAAAAGAATGAATCTATAAAAAATGGCACTACAGGACTTTTTTTTTTTTTTTAAATTCCTTCGCTAGCACTGTTGATTTATTCTTTTTTCTCTTGAGTGTGTTGGTGTGACTTTCGTACTGTTTTTATGTTATTTTAGAAAATGTTCTGATTAATGAGTTTGTGGGAGGTGGGTTTATATTTAATGAAAGTTCGGTATCCTTAATTGTAATTGCAATTAATTATTTTCATTTTGGCTGGTTTGCTTTTCTTTTTCATTTTTGTCTACTACCTTGTTGGCTAAGAGAATCTGTTTTAACCGTATTCGTTGTGGGTTTCGCTCTCCCGTAACTCGATTTCCGACCGGATGCGGTTGTTTCGACAACTATCTGCATCGCTTTCAGGACATTCAATTTTCAATGCTGAGTAAGCGCTGATCTTGATGTTCATTAAAAATTGTTCCTTTTTTTGACGTTGAAGTGGCACTGTTGTCAACTCTGACTTGACTCAACAGATATGTTGACCACTACTTTCCAATGAATTATGAGTAATTGGTGTGCCATTTGAATGAAATTCATTTTGCTGAGAATGGAATTATGGGAGCACCTTGTACTCAAAGTTGGAATGTCATTGATGATGTCAAATTGCTTGTTTCAACACTCAATACTTGTGTTGAAAATTGGAATGCCCCATTTGGCTTCCAGAACAGCAATCAGTGCTCCACCTGTAGAGTCCCAGATGGAAGTGATCACTATATTTTCCATTGCCTAATATTACGAAGAGAGTGACTATAAGTCTAGCTATTGAGTGAAAATAGTGGAACTGTCTGGCCATGTAGCCATAACACTCTTATGATAAGACAATTATATAAATGCATTCATCTGGTTACCTACCAAACTTTGATCTAGTACATGACATCTGATTGCTGCCCTGCAGTTATATACAGTTTGAGTACATTAAATAAAACTAAGAACAAAGTAAGTAAGAGGATTTCTAATCTAATCTACTAAACTAATTTGGTGAGAGAGCATTTACATAACAAAGATATTATATTACCTGACATTTGCATAGGTCTGAGGTGGAGATCTGAAAATAAGAAAAGGTCTGTATGAAATGAAATACGAGAATGAGATTGAAACACTTTCTACATCAAATTAAATACAGTGGGTGATCGGTTAATGAACATAATCTGATCCAAGACTTTGTTAACTGATTATCGATTTGCCATAGGTTTTTATGGGAATTTGATTAATTCATTGCAGAGACTTCAAAAAATAAAAAATAAATACTTTACTACATTTATATATATGTAATAGTAAAAGTACATATATATGCAGTCTTTCATTTTTATTAGTTGTGTTTTTTGTTTGTGGGAGTTAAAGAATCTGTCCAATGTCGATTGCTTTTCTCTTCAAGATTTTTCAGAAGTAATTAACAGTATTGTAATTGTAGAGATCCCCAACCCCATTAACCTTATTTTGATTTGGATGCCACTTGTATGATCATTGTTCTGACATCTCCCACTTCTTCAAAATATCTTTAGTAACATATGTCGACATCGATATGTCAACCTCTTTCGTCTTCCTCTTTTTCAAAAGAAAACACATCTTGTTGAGTTTCTTGATATTCTTCATTTGAGAGTTCTTGGAGTTCTTCTGTCATCAGATCAATTTCAGGTTCCATTATGAGCTCTAAAATGCTCTATTTCTTTCGTAGCTAAGATTGTGCCTACTGTAGATCTGTTCAAACCATACTGCCTAGCAACATCAGACATCTTGTGCCCACTTTCTACCTTGGCTATTAACTCTTTGGTTTCTACGGTGAGCACAGTTCTTGACACTCCTCGTTTTAGGCTTCATATTATCAGTTTCTTTTTTAAATAAAAAGTTCAGAAAAGCACTTACAAAAATTCAGAGAACAGAAATCAACTAGTCCACAAAAAATTATTTAAATGCAAGACCTGGATGAAATTCAAAATTTGGTATTAAAACGTTAACGAATATCTGATTGGACAGTTAAACTTTCACCTTTCTTAAATAAACCCCGATGCAGAACTTAACAAGTGCCCATCTGACAGTCTCGCAAAGACTATAAAAAATTATTTGTCAGAAAGGTAAACAAAAAGCTGGAATTACAAGTGAGAGTTTCAAAATTAGGAGGAATATTATCTAATCTGTATTGGGTTGAGCATCAATGTTGACGTCTCCTGTGTTCCAAAAGGTTTCGAATTGTCTATTCAGAGAAAGAGCCTACATGGTTAATATCTCCATATAAAACCGTGTAGAAGAAGAAGGTTTCGAATTGTTACCTGAAGACAAGGGAAAATCAATCGGTATTCATTATTTTCCATCTCTTCTTTTTATGTTTGTTCAGTAAAGTGTTCATTGTCCGATCAGAAAAATCTTTCGCGAAAGTGTTTGTTATCCAATTTGTTTGCTATCCAAACTGTTCGTTAACTGATCACCCACTATATTATAAATGACACCACTGTGTGATTCTACTTTGGTCTTTCCTTCTTACACCAAGTAGGTTATGCCTACACAAGTTTTGAGTGTTTTTGGATGGTAATAAAACTGTCTTGTATGTGAGACTAAGAGTAAGAGGATGGAGTAGGAAAGGATGAGAGTAAGTTGGAATTGATTCATTCAACACAATTTACTACACTTAAACATTTATTAGAAGGCATGAAAGTTGGTACAACATGTTACACAGGGTATTTATGGTTTTGCGGCAAGAGATATTACAAATTTTTGGTATCTCGCAAATTGGAACTAGTTGAGGATCTTCAGAATGTAATCTTTCAGTTAGCAGTTTGGGAGAAAAGTAGAAGGATGATGAGGAATCTGAGGACATAGAAGAGCACTAATCCAAAAGAGGCACATAAACACACTAAACTGAACAGATGAAAGAATGGACAACTGACTGGAATCAGCCATTTCTCATCATATTCAAAGCAGCAAATACCTTAGAGGTGACTAAAAGTCGTAGGAAAGGTGTCACTACCAACTCTGAGAAAGGATAAGTTGACACATTTTTAGGTCAGAAAATTGTCATATTAGCTTCTGATGAGGTCATTCCTGAGTTGTTTTCCTTTTACTTGTTTGATTCTCACACAACCGTAGTTTTAATTTAGTACCATCAACCATACATGAAAGAACAGAACCATGACCAGTGGTTTTCATTTTTTTTTTTTTTTCTTTTTTTTTTGATTCACAGTTTGATTCTCTGGCATGTCAAAAGTAATAGGCATTTTGTCCATGTACCAAATACACAAGTCATACATTTCATGAACTTAGTGCACTATCCAGCACTTGCTTTAAAACTAAAATTCCATCCTCCTTTGATTCCTTTTATGCATGGATTTGTATGACTTCATGAGTAACACTCTTTCCATCTTGATGATTTTCAAGTACCCACTCTTCAAACTTTTTTCTCCAATTGTGGCCATATGCGAGGTTTAACCTCTGTTAGCACATTTTCTTTTGGTATTATCTGAAGTTTGTTTGATATCTTTCTCCAGTCTCTCTGAAATTTCTTCGAAATACAAAATTGTCTTGCTGCTACATAGTTATTTGTCTTCTCAGCAACTTCAATAACTTTCAGTTTAAATGCTGCTGTATATTTGTTGTTTTTTCTAGAGGACATTTTTATGTAAAATGATGGAGAAATTTTAAACTTTAGTTGTAGATTTGTGTACGCATGTGTTCATGTCAGTGGTTCCTGGTCCTGACATGTTGTGTGACTCTGTTTGTGGCATCTCCACTGAGATGACTGCTACCACTGTCATACAAACATCTAGAGCCCTGGTAAATCTTAGTTCTAAGTTATGCTTCTATGGTAAACATTGCCAGTTATGTGAACAGTTATGGATATGTCAGTTTCAGGTTGTAATTACACGTGGGTCTTGTCTTTGTTCAGTCTTGGTTATTAATGGAATGCAATATATGAGCTTATCATTTGTTTATCATAATGTCAATGTTGTTGAACTCGTTACATGTTAAATAAAATGGAATGTACTTCATGTGGTTTAAAATATACTAGTACAATACTTGTGTTTTCTATTCATAATTATAAATTATAAAATGCTTTGTTCGAAATTATTAGTTAAAAGTGAAAATAAAATAAATTTATGAATTACCTTGCTTAAAAATGAATTATTCTATAAAAAATTATGGTAAGATTATCAGATGAAATTACAAAACATAAGGGGACTTAAAATTTGATATTTTACCACTGAGAGAAGTGCTATTATTAGTAGTAATTGAACGTTCTGTAATATGCATAAGTAAGTATACAGCCTAAAAAACATTACTGTTTGCATTAATTATA